GAACATCCTGATACCTTATTTGCATTGTCCTGAATGCAAATGATATGCCCATACAGGTAATGTTCATATGATTTTTCAAAGTTTTGGTCAAACGGTCAAAGGGCATTCGAGGGACCTCAATGGAAAAAGTAAGGGCAAAACTGAGCAAGCTCGAAAAGTAAGGGCAAAACCCGTGGGTAGGAACCAACTAGGGGTAAAAATGCAATTGTCCCTTGTTTTATTGTGTGTGTGTGGGGGGGGGGGATTAGCTAGTCTCCTATCATACCCCTGCAGAGAAAAAAAATCACCAAGGTCTCGGTGCTTGCTAGCTATCTCCCAGCATGCCACACGGCTCGCCCCCGCACCTCACAAGCCCCCTTGGGAAGCTCATCTAGAGGGTACTCCGGCTATTTGATCCATTTTTATGATACTTTAGGGGTCCTACTAGTCACTATGTGTGTCAAACTGTCGAGCAAACACACATAATGACGTAGATGGGCAGGTCCATTTTGTGTCATCAAGTGGTTCCTTCGTTGTATCTATGTTTTTTTGGTTTTACAGGGTTTCAACCGTTAGTTTGTATAGACACACACAAAAATACTACATTTCTATAAAGTGAACAGTTTTAAACATTAAGAATATTTTTAAAAGAAATATTATGATATTGTGAACATTTCTAAAAGTGACAGACATTTTTAGTTTTTCCTGATTCTTTTTACACAAATTGTGAACATTTTAATTTTTTTACTATTTTTATGTAAAACAATTGTGAACATTCCCAATGAATGCAAGATTTCTTGATAGAAAAGTGAACAATTTAAAATTTCGGTAATTTTTAAAAACCAATAAAAAAATAAAAACGAAAAATAGAAAAGAAAACCAGTAAGCCATAGCGAAAAATAATATAAACCATATGAGAACCTTCGTAAAATTGGAAAAACCAGACTCATGACCTTCCCAAGACTGGAAACAAAAAATAATAATTGGCTTAACACTAATTGGGTCGAGCAAGTCATTGGGCGTGTGCATTTACCCGACATCTAATCGCAAGAGTTTTTTTTAGCAGTAAACCACACTCTATTACGGAATGACTCTAATCGTAAGAGCTATATCTTGCTTATTGCGGGATTGATTTTTTTTTGAGACAATTGCGAGACTGATAACAAGGCACAGACGAGCTATATCTCGTGCAAAGTGGCATGGCCCAATAATGTTGCTTCTTGCACCTTGGGGAACCTTGTAAAGAACGGTTTGGGAAACCTTCACACGGTTTTGGAAGGTTTCCTTTTGATGTCTTACTTTAGGAACATGCGTTGTAATTTTTTTTCACTTTTCAATTTGTTTTCATTTCTATTTTCTCTTTCAAAATCATGAAGCATTTTAATCCTCCCTATTTAATGCACAAACATTTTTGACATGTCATGACCATTCTTTAAATATTTAACAAACAAAATTTCATATTCACATGAAGGTTTTTAAAATTTATAAAGATTTTTTAAGTGTCAAGTAAATTTTTTGAAATGGTATAAAGATTTTTACATCCTATGAATATTTTTAAAAATTGTTTGAACAACTTTTTACATTCCAGAACATTCATTTAAAATCTCATGAACAAGTTTTTCAACGTGTGAACATTTTGGTTGAATGGTACAAACATTTTTGTGTATCTCATGAAAATTTTATTAAACTTGCGCGTATAATTTTAGTTTTTCATTAACAAAAATAAAACACAACTAACTGTATTTACGAACCTGGTGGAAATTTTTGAAAATACCCGATAAACGTTTTTAATACATGATGCATGTTCTAAAAAATAATAAAAGAATTCAAAATGTATTTTCAAACATTTTAAGCGGGAAAAATTCTTATATATAGATGGTACATACGTTACAAATGAATAAATTACATTACATTTTTTAGTCTAAACACGCTCCACTTTATTGATTATTGAACAAGTTCATAGAGATACAATGTTGATCTGGAGTATTAAGGAGCCACACATGGCGTCCTAAAGAAATGCCTAGAGTATGTTTAGTGAGGCTATGTCTCTTAGTATTGGTTTCTCTCCCTTCGAAGATGAAGGAACATCAAGAAAACTATCGTGATGTAAGGTTGATCTCCTTGATAATACTAGAGCGTATCCCACCCGTATTTCTGTGAATGTCGTTGATCACATCTTGAAAAATCCGAAGCTATCTACACATCTTTAAGCGATAAATCGAGATCAAGTGAGAGCACTTCGCGACAGGCCAACGCCTCCAAAGATTCTGGGTCGGTCATTCCTGGACATTTTATCGCCGAGGAACCTAGATAGCTGCCAGTGGAGTCCCTGCGAACCACATTGTAAGAACCCTCCGTCGCGTCACGGGACACGTCACTGTCCACTTGAATTTTTGCCACTCTTTCGGTCGGCGGGATCCATCTCTGAGGTTGTCTCAGAGGTGTGTGAGCAGCCACATGTTGTATCATCGGTTTGCATGTCTGAAGCTATCAGAGATAGATCTGGACAAATAGATTAGTGGCTAAATTTTTTTAGTTTTGAGATCCAGAAGAAAGACACTTTTTTAGGTGCTGAAGAAAGACATATTTGAGCAACCATTTTGCAGGCTATATCAATTTTCCTTTTTGAGAATTTTTCGCAGGCCATATCAAAATGGATCTAGCAATCATCATCATCATCTGTGGAGAAGCTAGGTAAGGCCCATCTGGCCCAGAAGCCCGCGGCGGAACCTCCCGACAGCGCCGCAGGGACGCGCAGAGTTCCGGCTCGTCGTTGCTCTCCGCCGCAGCCGGGCTGGGGTTGAAATCAGTTCGTCTTTGGCATTTGCTGGCTTAAACCCTCCGCTACAAACCAAACGCAAACCCCACGGAACAATCCCCTTCTCCTCCCCTTCTTCCTTTTCTTTCTTTCCCCCCAAGCCAGCCAGCCCCCCGCCAGCCATGCTCCACCTCGCCGCCGCGAGATCGCGGGCCCTCCTCCTGCCCCGGCCCGCCGCCGCCCTCCCCTCCCCCACCACCCCCTCCTCCTCCTACTCCTCCTACGCCCGCGGCGCCCCCTCCCCCTCCTCCTACGCCTACCGCGCGGCCTCCTCCGCGGCCGCCGCGGAGGCGGCGGCGGCGGCGGCGGCGGCGTCCGGCGCTGGCGCGGAGGCGGCCGCCACGGCGCCGCCTCCCCCCGCGGCCCGCAAGGGGTGGATCAGGGGCCTGCTCAAGTTCGGCGTCTTCACAACCCTCGTCGGAGCCATCGGCGGCGCCGGCTACGCCACCCACGGTGCGACCCCGCCGCCCCGATCTCTGCTCGGGCGCTTCCTCCCCGTTTGGGGTTCCGCGCTTGCATCCGCGTTCTCACTTTTGTTTGACCTTGCCTTGTTTGTTTTTTCCTTCCCGTTTGCTTCAGCCTACTCGCTGTCCGAGGTTGACAAGAAGACCCTCGAGTTCAGGAAGGAGATGACCACCCCGATCCCCGTCCCGGAGGACGCTTCAGAATTCGAGGTAACAATTAACCGATGCCGCGCCGTCTTCCCATCATTGTCGTTGCTTCGTTGCTTGCTCGAGTAATTTCGCTAGGGGAGTTTAGTTTAAGGAGTACCTGATTGGCCTATTGGCAGCTCTGTTTATTGTAATAAACTTGTAATGCAACAAAGCACTGGCAGTAAGAGGTCCAAGGGAAAGCCTCTCTAGCGATACAGAAACATGCAACATATTGTTAAACTATCACTATGTTCTGTCACAAGGTCTATGATCTCCAAAATCATCAATATACTTATGTGTGATACAGAAACAAATGGAGATTGTGGGAATAAACTGCAGCTAGCAGCCTTGTTGTCTGTCAAACTCAACTATGTCTAATACTAGAGTGTCTGTGCTTTGTTTGTGCAGAAATTTCGGGCTAGGGCTTACGAAACAGCTATGAAAGGTACAAGCCATGGCATCTTCCTTCTTTTATTATTGTTATTATTATACTTGCCTTCTTTTCTTCTACTACCTGAAATATTTTTTCCTTTTGGACGGCAAAATTGCCATATTACAGCTTCTACTCTCTTGCTGTTTGTTTTCTAACTCCTCCCACTTCTTTCCTCACTTGATGCTTTTGTACATGTTCCAAACACTTGATTGAACAGTGATCTGACGAACATTATACTAAGTAATAAATCAAAAGAATTGTCCTCAGTGAATGCAATGAAGATTGGAATTAAATACAGTTATGCCGCTACTCCCTCTGTTTCACAATAGATGCTGTTCTAGCTTACACATTTTCTTCCTAAATACAGTACGTTCTACGATTACGAGGCAATTCTTGCCATCCTTTCCTTTGCATACCCCAAAAAGTTATTATTCACAAGGTTCACTACTACTATGACTAGAGTAGCACCCACCCATCCAGTAGTGATAAGTGAGGTAACTAAGGAGGGGAATGTGGTATTTCGGATACATGCCATGCAGCCTTGGTGGGACGGGGTTGTAAAATCTTAGAATGACATGTTTGTGCAACGGATGGAGTACTTATTGAATACATACCATATAGTCAAAATTATTCCTTGAGCTCCAGTATACATTTTTTGTTTGGTACCTTGTTAATACTTCAGATACATGCCATGCAGCCTTGGTGGGATGGGACTGTAAAATCTTATAATGGCATGTTTGTGCAGCGGATGGAGTACTTCTGAATACATAAATATAGTCAAAATTGTTCCCTGAGCTCCAGTATACCTTTTTGTTTGGCACCTTGTTAATACTTAATACTAGTCCTGTACATTTTGCTACTGCAGTTCCTGTTGCAGCGATAGAGCTTTACCTGGAAATTAGGGCCAGAATTGAAGATCATGTTGTGGTTAGTTACGAATTATAATATTTCCATTTTTATCTAACAGTTGTATTTCTTGTAAATGTTAATAATCACACCAAATATTTGTTTGACAGGGCTTTACTGAACCCGCATCAGACAAACTGTTACCAGATTTACATCCGGACGACCAGAATATCTTCACCCTAGTTGTTGATCTGACTGACACTCTTGTATACAATGATTGGCAGGTAGAGTGAATGAAATATTTAGTCCTGTTTTGATTGTTGATTTTTTCCAGTACTATAACCCAATCTTAGGATTTGATGGGAATGTGGTACTATGATACATGGACTGATATTTACGTTATAAAAAAAAGACTTCAAGTCAATGTGAGTGGCAATGTGCAGCTTGTTTTCCATGCTGTCAGATAATGTGCTAACAAGTGCAGCACAATATATAACTTAAATGAAACCATCTCTAACTGAAGGAAAACTAATTTTATTTTCATCTCTTATTTTCCTAAATATTTATGCACAACTATATAAATAGGATTCCTATCTCTTCATTTGATTGGAACAGACTAGTCCCTGTTGTGCTACAGTACGCGTGAACAGTAGGTCTTCCCATAATTTGGGCTAGGGGCTTGGTACATTCCCATGACAGTTTACCCAAACGAAGCAGATATTTGTGCCTAGGCATGTAACATGCTCATGAATTTTCCATTGCCACATCCAGGGCTCGTTTGCTTGGTTGTGTCTAGGCATGTAACATGCTCATGAGATTTCCATTGCCTTACGATAACATAGCAGGATGAGGGTTGAACTCAACTCATCTTACCTATGTTGCTATTAGTTCCATTGCATGGGATAATTCATAAATTGTCTTTCATTTTTTATCCTCTTTTTATTTTCCTATTTGTGCAATTCAGGAATATCAATGTAATGTTTTCTCTCTGTGTAAAGCGTGAGAGAGGTTGGAAGACATTCAAGAGACCAGGAGTTGAAGCTTTTCTGCAACATATGGCAACCATGTATGAAGTTGTTGTATATTCTGATCAACTGCAAATGGTAAGTTGTTTTTAACTCATCCTTCAGGTAGACTGTTATTTAATACCCTAATGTCTACATGTTTCACTTGTAGTATGTGGACCCTGTGGTTGAAAGGTTGGACTCAACGGGTCAGATACGCAAATTATCAAGGCCTGCAACTAAGTACCAAGATGGTAAACATTATCGGGTACGAAGACTGCCTGGCTTTACTATTTGAGCAATAAGCACACTCCATAAAGATAAAACATTGTCAGTAATAGTGAATCATCCATTTTGCTGTTTTATACTAATAATCTCCTTTCAATCATTCATGGTATGTGCTCCTAAATAAGTATGTGAGCCTATACCCAAGGATGCATGTAAATCAATATGGACACTAATACAGTATTATAGTATTCTTTCTATTGTAAATTAAGATCGATGCTTGTATTGTTGGGAATTTCAAGAGAAGTGAACCATTCAATTGTGTATTTATCTGTTTATTTGTTTATTGGGTCCATTATCTGATATGTGAGCCATCACCAAGCCTTCCGTTTTGTTACTGTATGACATTTCTCCTTTTAATATTTTTTGTCATGCTTTACCAGGATTTGTCAAAGTTGAACAGAAATCCTGCGCAAGTTCTTTACGTCAGCGCACATGCTCTTGAATCTTGCCTGCAACCTGAAAATTGTGTTACAGTCAAACCCTGGAAACTTGAAAATGATGACACTGAGTTGCTGGATCTGATTCCATTTCTTGAGTGTAAGTGTCCCAACCGTCTCCTGTATCCCTAAAAAAACATCTCCTGTATTACGGCATTACCATGTGGTTCTTGGTATCTTCGTTGTTGTCTTCTGAGTCTGTGACCTCAAAGTGCTTAAGTGTTAATAATGCCAACTTTTATATTACAGATCTTGCCATAGCAAGGCCTTCTGATATTCGGGCAGTGCTTGCTTCCTATCAAGGTCATGATGTTGCTAAAGAGTTCCGAAAGCGTAGCAAAGAACTGGAGAGGTAAGCACATGGTTACATTCTATTACAAGATGCCTGTCATTTAGAATATTTTTGGTTTGTCGTCTTTACATTGACGAGTGAAACTCTCTTTGTGTGGCATTTGTTGTTGACTGTCATGGTTGCATTCTACTGAAGGATCCTGTTATTTAGACTATTTTAGGTTTGCCGTCTTTACATTGACGAGTGAAACTCTCTTTGTGTGGCATTTGTTGTGGATTTCATGGTTGCATTCTACTGCAGGACGCCTGCCATTTAGGTTTTGCTGTCTTTACATTATTATATGAACGTGATATATTGTTATAGATGTCATCAGTGTAACTACACGAGTGGACCTCTCTTTTGCGTGGCATTTGTTGTGGACTGTCATGGCGGTTGTGTATGTTGTTTAGTTGGACGCCTTATGCATAAGTTGATCTGAATTTCGAAGTACAGATTTTCTAGGTGTTGAGCTGGACTCGGCAATTATGTAGTAATAACACCCTCTGTTCCTAAATGTAAGACGTATATTTACAAACAGAGGTAGTAGAATCTGGGGAGCTACCTTTGGTACTAGAGTCCCTTACTAAGGCATCATGCTTCTTTGAGAACTACACCAATCTCAGTAATGCAAAATTAGGACATTGACCTTGAGTGTATCAGATTTCAAGCTTACAATGCCTGTCTGGATTTTTGAAAATCGGCTTATCTAGGATCAGCTATTTGTTTGTTACACAAACCTGTTTTTTTTTTCCTTCTGTGAATTGAATGGCCATTACTTCACCATCTTACAGGCACAAGCAAGCGAAGCAACGTAAGAGCATATGGCGGCGGTGATGGATCTGATCTGCTGCAAGGGCAAAGCTCCAAATTGACCTAATCCTAGCTGCGCGTGTTTTTTGTTGGAAGGAGAGCATATTGAGACTCCTGTGCAATTGCGTTTCTAGTCAGATGGCTTGGTAGTTTGGGCAGTTTAGGTTGCCTAACATTACGACTGATATCAGCGCTCATCCCATTTTCTTGTAAGGATCTCCATTTCTTGGGCATCTCATTCCCATGTGAAGAATAGGGCTATATGTATAGCACACGGTCTCTGTTAAGAGTTTGAGACCACGCCACCAAGTTTGCCTTATGCTTAGTTGCCAAAACATGCGTTGAGATGAGGCGTTTTTCTTAATGGTCCGTGGTCATTGCATTCTCTGAGCCATAGAGATGACTACGCATCGTGCGCACATTGTCGACTTGATGAGAAATAATATAACAGTGGTTTGCGACTGTGAATCGTCTCAACTGCACCAAATTCACTCTTCGACCTCAGTAGCAATTGCTGTAACATGGATTAGTGGCAGCTCGTTTTAATATGCATACACAGCTTGCATACACATTCTGAAGACAATTTTTTTCGTTAAACGGGTACTCACTCCTTGCCAAAATCTTAGGTGTTCTGCGGTCCTTCTATAATTGCCTTTCTTTGTGGATATGCAATGTTTCTGTACACTTGATGATGTCCATATACGGTAAGACCTCAGTAACCAGACTGTTTTTCTCATAATCCTATAAATTGATTTTAAAACGCCCTCCCTTTCATAATCCGTGTCTTGCATGAATCTCCTGTTTCCAAACAAAGTGCAAAATTTAGGCAGAAGTCGTTTAAAGAGCCAACTTCGTAAATTCACATGTACACATTTTTATGCATGATTTACATATTCAATTCTCCATCTTGTCAATTTCCAAATTTCCAAGGAGGTTCTTAGGGCTTAGGATTCCACTATCATCCAACTTGAATCGTGTAGGCCTAATTGACACGCAATAGAACCATATGAATTTTTTTTCAAGAGGCATGAGTAAATGAAAAAAAAAAAATTGCGACGTGCCGGACTACAGAGAGAATGGAGCTCATGATGACAGTATGGCGCTGCTGGCACGTCCGCAACAAGATAACACATCATAAGCAGCCGCCCCAGTCAAAGCATCCAAGAGGTATCTTCTAAGCTAAGTGAACTAATTGGTGCGCAGAACAACCTAGGTGCTGATCCAGTTAAAGGAAAGCAAGTTTGGGTGTGGTGACACCCAGCAAGCCATTACCGCATGCTCAGCCCATCAAGGGCGCCCCATCCAGGTGGTCTCCTCAGGCTGAAGGATGGGCAAAACGGAAATGTTGATGGATCGTTCCGCGCCACCTCGGGAGCTGCGGGGGCGGGCATGATTCTGTGCGGCTCCACAACGACATCATTTTCTCATCCTGTTGAGAGTTGCATACATGTGTAGAACCATTGGAGGCTGAGCTCTCAACTTGCATGGAGGGCATCAACCTCGCCTTGCAATGAACGAAGATGCTGATAGAATTGAAGAAGGACTGCCTTGTCGCTTTTAACATGATCAATGGTCCGAACAGGGACCGGTATTGCTATGCCATGTTGGTTGATCAAATCCAATGGCTTTCGAGGGAAGGGAGAATGTCCAAGCTATCTCATGTTCGTAGGGAACAGAATGGTGTAAGCCATTATTTGGCCTCCTTTGGCCGGACATAAGGTCACACTGTGATGTGGCTGGGTTCGGGAGCAGAGGATGTCCCTGATATTTTTAAGAATGACTTATGTCCTGATTGATGAAATAAATTCCCTTTCACACGCATTTAAAAAAATAAGAATACCCTAATAAATCGAACCCAAGAGATGCCATTGGAAGGGAAAGAAAATTAAACAACACGCATATAAGTTTTTCAACAGTTAAAATCGTTGAAAAATTATATATTTTTCAATAAAGCAGGCCCTTCACAGAAAAAAAAATAGCGTCGCAAAAAAAAAGGAAAAGACCCAGTCTTTTTTTTTTCTCGTTTGAGCATGGCCCCTTTTCTCCGCAGAGAAAAAAGGCCTGGCCCACATCAAGGAATCGACCGAAAGGCCACAGACAAACACAGGCTTGAAGCTCGCAGCACGGATAGCGCTCTCCGGCCTCCGCCCAAATCGCCGCCGCCCCGGCTCCGGCCGCCCCCCTGCTCCCGCGCGCGCCATGACGGCGAATCAGCCGGCGGGCGAGGCCCTCGCGACCCACATCTCCGGCATGTCCCGCCCGGAGATGTACGACCTCATGTCCCAGATGAAGGTGCGCCCCCCAATCCCCAAACCCTACGAGCCTGATTCCTCCCCTCCCGGCCTCCTCACCGTTTCGCCTCGTCCCGCAGGCCATGCTCGACCACGACCAGGAGAGGGTGCGCCGAATGCTCGTCGAGAACCCCGACGTCACCCGCGCGCTCTTCCGGGTGAGTCCTCTCGCGGCCTGCGCTGCTAGGGTTTGTGGGTTTCCTGGTACAGATTCCGTGTTTCTATGCAGGAAAGGGTAGGATAAAACTCCATACCTGTCACAAATGGTAGTCGCTGAACATCTGGTGTACATTGCTGGCTACCCCAGTTAAACCTGGTTCATGTTTGCATAGGGAGTGGAATCGAGGGTCATTTATGTTGTAAAAAACATTATAGGTTGCTTTTTACATGATTTAGATGGAAAATCCATTCATAAGAACGTGGTGTATAGTCGTGTTAATGTTGATAGTGTCACCACAGGGCGTTCACACCTGTTGTTTCTATATGGAAAGAAAGTGGACGGCGAAGAAGAATGTGTGTCACACACTTATACTCCCTCCATTCCACAATATAGTGCTTCCTCTATCCACGTGCTTCAACTTTGACCGTAAATTTAACTATCAAGACCGATTGCGGCGGGAGCAAAAATTATATCAGTGAATTCGTATTCGAAAGAAGTTTTCAATTATATAATTTTTTCTCCCGCCGCAGTTGGTCTAGTTGGTTAAATTTACGGTCAAAGTTGGACCTCGGAAAGCGCGGGCGCACTATATTTTGGAATGGAGGGAGTATAGAAGACTAAAACCGAATCCACTACTTGTTCTACGCCTGTTTCCCAATGGTTTATTCAATTGTTATAAGCATTCTAATACACATCATTAATGTTTTTGCTTTTGTTCTCCTGACAAACTTGCCTTGTTATCATGCAGTCAATATAGGGTGTGGTGTCTACGTACATATGTGAACTTTCAAGTTTCAGCTTGATTATTTTGCTCACAATGATTGAATCTGTTATATGCATTTGTGCTGGATGCATTTCTCATATAGTATTTTTTTCTCCTTGCAGGCCCAAGTGGTTCTCGGAATGGTCAAAACACCTAAAGCTGTATGTAACATAAGTTCTTTGACGTTTAATATTTGGATTATTAATGTTGAAATTGAATATTTTTGTCATCAAATGCTTGTTGTTCCACAGGCACAATCTTCCGACACGCACCAGCCAACAGTTGCTCAGACAACTCCTCCTGCATCAGTTAAAGCTACAGTACAAGATCATGTTAACTTGCCCCAGCCTCCCTTGCCTACCAATCAACAGAATTTGCAACCTTCTGGCCAATTTCCTTCGGGCACTTCTAATGTGACACCATCTTTGGACCTTCCACCTGTGCCAGCGAATCCACCACAATCAGCACAATCAAAAGGATACCCTATCCATCAGATGCATTCTGCATCAGCACCGCAGTCATCTCAGTATCCAAATGTTACCATGCCTCCTCATGCTCCTCCACAGTATTCAAATGTTCCATCTCATATGCCAACAGTGAACAGTCAACCACAGCAACCATTGCAAAATCCTGGAATGTTTAACCAGCAATTACAGCCACCCCTGCCCCAGTTGCCTAGGCCACCTTCCATGCAGGCATATACACATCAGATGCATCAGCAAATACCCAGTACATATGGTCAGCACATGTTGCAACAACCAATGTTTCATGTAAGGTTCTATAGTCTATACTAAATTTATGTGGTTCTGATAACTATATACTCTTTTGCAAACTGACCATGATATTTGGAATTTCTCAGCCAGGTGGGAATCCACAAAATTCTTTCTTTACAGGTCAACAACAGCAGCAATTACCCAACCAGCCACCACCATTGCCGAATCAGCCACCACCACAGCTATACCAGGTGTGATATCTCATCTTCTGGAAGATATGATTAGTTTGATTATCCTGTCTTAAAGTTGACCTTTTCCTTGTGTAAAGAAAAATGCAAGTATATTCCTGAATGTTTCTGCCTTTCCGCAGCATTTGCTGTGCAAAATCAGCTTTAGGATGTATGAAATGATGGGGTATTGTTGATCTGCTATTATCTCAGGAGTTTTAGGTCTCGAAGAACCATGCATGCAATGAGTAATTGTTAACTAACCTCTTGCTATCATAGTGTAGTAGTCCTGACTGCTGTTATAAAGTATCTGTATCATATGACATATTATCAGCATTATAAAGTAACACGTGAATTGACTCTTATTATCTATAATCCAATAGACTAATATTTCACACATGTTGGCCTACATAACAGTTCACATTGCCTTCTACATGTTTTACTTGGCTAGGTTCTACAGTTCTTTTCCTTGTTCTGATTGACACTTGACATTATAAAAAAAATCAGTGCACATGCAGTTCAAACGTTACTATTTTTTCTTGCTGCTGTGCTCCAAATTCTTTACCACTATGTCATTATTTATTCCTCCTTTCAATATTTGATACTGCTCACAGGGTTCTTGCTTGGACAGTTGAACCAAACGCCAAATATAGCATGCTTAAAACGTTTATGTTTTCTCAGCAAGGACCACATATCCTAGTTATTCTTGTTTGGACATCACAAAAATTGAGGGCTCATATATAATATCTAATCCATGGACAGTTTTAAGCATCTCTTCAGCATTTTTTCGCGCATAAACTCCTCTGAAAGCTGGTCATTCCGTATTCTCTTACAAAGATTGAATAGGAAACCCTTAACAAGCCAGTTTCAGGTTTAATTCATGTCTTGGTTTTTGTTGATTTATGGATTGCCAGCTTATTGCTGACTTTTTGGACATCAAGGACACCTGAAATTTAGTATAAGGATATCAAGCACAACCTATTTTTAGTCTATGCAAACCACACATCACTTCTTAAATAGATTATTGTTGTTTGCCAGATTCTAACAGTCCCACCTTATCTGTGATGTGTGGATCATGGACTCAAAAATCAACAGTTAACTCTTGTAATTTGTCTGTTTAACAGGCTAATTCACATGTGAGCTCGCACTACAATTCCCAAAGTATGCAAGTCGATAGATCAGCTCCATGGGGGCGTGGCAACCAAGAAGCATCGTCGGCTGGCTCCCATTTCCCTGGCCAATTTCAAGGTCTACCTGGACAGATGACCCAAGGGATTGGCGGAATGCAGACAGGCCGCCCAGAAGCACCTGTAAGTGTCCCTGCTACTGCATTTTAGAACACAAGTGGTCATATGTGCTACGCTTTACCCCCTTTCCCTAAAAAATGAACCACTCACGTAGTTGTTATTCGAGCAGTTGACAGCCGACATGGAAAAGATGCTAGTACAGCAAGTCATGAGCATGTCGCCGGAGCAGATCAACGCGCTGCCCCCGGAGCAACGTCAGCAGGTGCTTCAGCTGCGAGACATGCTGCGTCAATGATGTACACGACGAGCAGCTGCCCGAGTAGAAGGATGACAGTTCGATAGAGCCGCGCAGATCGGATCAAGTGCTCCGTGATCGACTTACGTTGTCAAAGTGACATCTTCATTGTTCAAGCGGATTGACATCCCTGCTAGCCTGCCGCGTGCCTGGGAATGTGGTTGTAGAATGAACGCTTAGCCCATTTCGTTATTTATAGGCAGCTCTTTGGATATACATTCGGATTGACAAGTGAAGCGGCATGATGTGGTACTCCGCTGCTGCTGCCGCCAAGTTTTCTGCCGTGTTGTGATTGAATTCTGGTCCTTGTCTGATGACTGGTCTAGCTCTTGAGATGACTGATTGATATAATATGAGAGTGGTGGTAAACGTTCTTGTTTGTACTCCTTTTTTTATCGGATCTTTTCTCAATTTTGTCTTGTCTACGTGCGAAAATCTGTTGGCATGGACGAGCTCTTTTTTTTGCGGGTGAAACCGGGGCTCTTTATTCAACATCAAAACCTCCAGCATAATCTGCTGAGAGGCTAGTTACAAGAAAACTTGGTGTGGTATCAAGCCAACACTCTGTAACATCTAAAGTGCTTGCCTGTTTCGCACAGAGATGAGCAGGGACGTTGGCAGCTCTACCGACATGCTGAACTACAAACGACTTAAACGAAGGAACATGCTCCCCGATTTCAGAAAAGATAGGCGCCACCACCGCACGAGAGGTGTGACGCGAGTTCCAGAGATTCACAATCTCCAAATTATCAGACTCCAGAACCACTTCCTCATAGCCCCGAAGGTGCGCAAAGATAACTCCATCGCGGATGGCAAAAGCTTCAGCTATGAGCGGGTCCGTGACCCCTGGGTATGGTTTACACCATGCTGCAAGAAGGGTTGAATTGGACCGAGAAACACCCCCTGTCCCTCCCCTCCTTGCATCCATTGCAACACTGCCATCAGTGTTAATTTTGATCCATCCCGACTCAGGCGGCCGCCAGCCATGGCCGGGCAGAATTCTAACGTGATCTCGAGGCAGCTCAAGAACTTCAAGCGACTCCCGAACCCTCTTCAGAGACTGAATAGGGTTATAAGCATTCTTGTCGTGGGTGATATTGTTCCGAGAGGTCCAAATCGTCCACATAACAATCACCATTGTCGCTCTTTGTGACTCCGAGAACATCTGATCGCACAAGATATCTCTGGACCAGGTCAGAGGGTGCAACACCGGCCTTCTGATATTCAACCATTCGGGGGCTGCATCCCAAAACTGTTTGGCATGAGAGCAGTCAAGAAGGGCATGCATCATGTCCTCGTCCGTGTGAAGACATATTTTGCATGTACTAACCGTAGCAATATGGCGATGTTTAAGAGTAGCTTCTGCTGGTAGAATGCCATGTAGTACCCTCCACCAGAAGACTCTGACTCTTGGGATAACTTTGAGCTTCCACAATCGAGACCACAACTGTTTGTCTGTCAATGAAGAATCGGTAATCGTCCCCTCCTCTAGAGCAGTCCGCTCGTTTCGAGTCATTAAGGCACGATACGATGATCTTACAGTGTAGCATCCCGATTTTTCAAAAGCCCAAGCCAACGAATCATCACCCCCTCCTTGCCTCAGCGGAATGTTGAGGATGGCATCCGCATCTGGGGGTATGAAGTTTTGTCGAACCACATCTTACTTCCATGACCAGCTGATGTGATCGATAAGGTCCGCCACCACATTCAGCTGATCATTGCCAATGCTGCAGACCGGCGTCATTGATAGTGTACCAGGAATCCATTTGTCATGCCAAACAGAGACCGTTGAGCCGTCGCCTACCCGCTTTAGAAGACCGATCCGCAGGGCATCCCTCCCAGCAATTATAGCACGGCAGGTTGCAGAGGAGAAGCGAGGAGCTGTGGCTTGCATAAAATCACTTGTGGGATAATATCTTCCCTTAAGAACTCGCGCGCACAGAGATTCTGGAGTTGTCATCAGACGCCAACCGTGTTTTTCGAGGAGAGCTGTATTGAACAGCTCAAGATCCCTGAACCCCATTCCTTCCCGCGCTTTTGGTTTTGATAGAGAGTCCCATGCCTTCCAGTGCATAGATCGACGGTCAAGGGAACTACTCCACCAATATTTTGCCAAACAAGAGGCCAGACTTTTACAAACCTTCTTTGTTAGCTTGAAGCAACTCATGCTAAACATGGGGATGGCTTGGGCAATTGCCTTGATTCACACTTCCCGTCCAGCACAAGAAATCATCCGTTCCGATCCTCCTTGGAGCTTGTTACGAATCCTCTCCCTAATATGATCGGAAGTGCCACTTGTGATCCTGCCAACTGCTGTGGGCAGACCAAGCGCTCACTGAAAGCTTCGACTGAAATATTCAGAGTGTTTCAATAGCAGCTTGTCCGGAGCAGCAGTATTTGGGCTGAAATATATCGAGCTCTTCTCCTTATTAACTGCCTGGCCCGAGCCTTCTTCATAGATTCTCAAAATCTCATTTAATTTTTGGGCACTTTGCACCTTAGCTTGCATGAAAATTAGACTATCATCCGCAAAGAGAAGATGATTGATCCAGGGTGAGCGATAACTTACCCTTATGCCTTTATCTGCCTCTTCTCCTCCGAAACGATTCAGCAGTGATGTAAGCCCTTCCGCACACAACAAGAAGAGGTACGGAGACATTGGGCATCCCTGCCGTAGGCCCCTTGATGGAGAAAAAAATGGAAGGAGCTCGCCATTGACCCGAATTGAGAATCTGACCGTGGACACGCATTTCATGACAAGGCGAACAAAATCCACACCAAATCCAAGTTTGAGCATGATAGCTTGCAAATAATGCCATTCGACACGGTCATAGGCCTTCATCATGTCTAACTTGATCGCACACACTGAGTTGCCCCCTTTTTTCCTTCTCCTCATTGCATGCACACTCTCATGTGCAATAAGAACGTTATCAGTTATCAGACGGCCAGGGACAAAAGCACTTTGTTCGGCACCCACAATATCATCTAGACACTCACGGACACGGTTAGCAATTGCCTTGGCAGCAATCTTATACAGAACCAGACATAGCGATATAGGTCAATATTGGGAGATTTTTTGGGGAAAATGTACCTTCGGAATAAGAGTGATGGATGTGTCATTCAATCCTGTTGGCAAATCCCCCCCATTCAAGAAATCAAGCACTGCTGGAACAATATCATCCTTGAGTAACTTCCAGTGGCGCTGAAAAAACTCTGCTGTAAATCCATCCACCCCCGGGGCCTTCGACGGTGCCATTTGAAAGAGAGCTCTACGAACCTCCTCTTCCGTGTATGGTTTTTCAAGTTCATCATTCATCAATGGCGTAACCCGAGGGGGAAAAACATCTAGAAGCTCTTGCATCTGGTTGTAGCCTTGCGAGGTATATAATTGTTCATAAAAGGCCTGAACTTCCTCGCGGTCTTCTTCCAGCGTATTACACACTGAACCATCAGCCCGAACTAGCTTCCCTATCTTGTTCATTCGTCGACGCTGAGCTGCCTGAGCATGGAAGTAGCCCGTATTCTGGTCACCTTCCCGTAACCACAGAACTCTTGATCTCTGTCGGAGCCATATTTCTTCCTGGTGTAGCGCCAGTTTCAGCTTCTTTGCAACTGCTTTCTCTTCTTCTGTTGGCCCCCTCCTAGAAGATTGACCATGCAGACGGGTCAGCTGCTCGCGCAGCTTTTTTATCTTGCATGCCAAACATCCGAACTCTCTCGCCCCAAGCAGCAAGTCTGCCTTGCAGCGACCGAAGAGCTTGAGCTATACCTTGTAATCCCGCTCGGCCTGAACCCTTTTGCCAAGAGTCAAGGATCAGTTTATCATAGTCCACATGTGTTTGCCACATATCTTCATATCTGAAGGGTTTAGGGCCTCTGGGTGCAGCCGAAAAAAGGTTATCTCACAGATCCGCGAGAACAAAACAGCGATCAGATTCCGTTGTGACAATGTGTCTGATCCTCACATTCGAAAACATCTGCATAAACGCAGAGTTGCCGAAGGCTCTATCAAGCCGGGCTCGCACGTTGGAGCGACCCGGCTGCATGTTATCCCATGTGTACTCCGTCCCTGACCAACCTAAATCAGTGAGAGCACACTCATCAGTAGCTTCCCGGAACGCCCGCATCTGCCATTCCGGTCGGGGTGTTCTAGAGAAGTGCTCTGAGCCAACAAGGGTCTCATTAAAGTCTCCGATGCACATCCACGCTTCATGTTGGATGGCAAAAAGTGTTCTCATGAATCTCCAGCTGTGTCGACGGTCTTCCACACGCGGAGCTCCATAGAATCCCGTCACTCTCCATTGCTTTGTGACATCAAACTTCTTCCTCAGCATTACATCGATATGGGCGGTGCTATAATTTTTCAGTTCCACTTCCACATTTGAGGTCCAAAACATACCAACGCCTCCGCTCAGACCTGTACTGCTAACAACAAAGTAGCCCGAGAATCCTAGCAGATTCTGTAATCTTTCCACTCGAGTTGCTGAAATTTTCGTCTCCATAACGAACAGGAGATCGGGCCCTTCTTGCTTCACAATGTTGCGAAGCTCTCGAACTGCCCCGGGGTTCCCAAGCCCCCGGCAGTTCCAGCTCAAGCAACTCATTGGCCCCGGCGGGGCTGATTCGCAGCCACCGCCGAACTATCCGAGTTTTCTGAATTTGTGGGGGTGGGTTTCTTCTTCTTAGAGGAGGGTTCTGTCTCCTGGTCAGCTTCCTCTCCCACAAGTTTATTAACTCCTGCTATGAACACCACCATTGCATTGACGTCCACCTCCCGATGCACCTGCTCTTCGGCCTCCGCCGGCGGCAAGGCAATCTGTCGGTACACCTGTTTCTACACCTGAGGTCCCCTCTTTCTTTTGTTTGTATTTGTATGATTACTTTTCTTGATTGGGGAGACAACCTCAGGGCAAGTGTCTGCCTTATCCTTCGCCTTGCGAGCATCCTTCGTACTGCTTTGACCCGATCTTTGCTCTTTTGACGAACTATCATTAGACGAT